ATTCTAAAATAGTGAACCTCAAACTCTGACAACTCACTAAGCGCTTTTATAAATCGGAACTAAATATCAAACTAGTTTTCACTTCTTTTAAAATTAAAAACATGTTCAGTGTTAAAGATCGTACTCCTGATGCTCTAAAATCCATGGTAGTCTATCGATTTTCTTGTGCGGGATGTAATTCGCGTTATATCGGTGAAACTAGTCGCCACTTCTACTAGGACAAAGGAGCACACGGCAAGCGATAAAAACTCACATATTTTTAAGCATTTCAACACCTCTCCTTCTTGTAAGAACAAATACTCCCTTTCTTGCTTCAGTATTCTGGATTCTGCTAACAACTCAATTGATTTAAAACTCAAAGAAGCTTTTTATATAAATATGATCAAACCTGAACTTAACAAAACAATTACAGCATTATAACACTTTTCTAGCATTTTAGTTCACACCTTTGATGTTTGGTGTCATGTTGTAATTAGTACCCACTTTTGTATTACATCACACTGTAAATATTTTATTCATGTACTTGATTGTCTGTTATGTAATTACTCATGTTCTGTTACTCATTGATTGAAGATGGCATAAGCATGCCGAAACATGTCTCTCAAAACATTTGTCTATTTCTTACAAGAATATTATATACTGATGTTATGGTATAAAGGGTTAAACCATAATTTCAGTAGGAATGGATTCACTCTTCAATGTGAACACCGTTGCACATAAGAGTTTTTTTCAAGGGTTATTTGATTAACACACTACATGTGCCAATGTGCTTTGCAGTGTCGCAAGGACTTCTTGTCTGGAACAGTAGGAAGATTTGACAATCCTAAAGATTTTGCAATGTTGGTCATTTACGAAATCATCTACCGAGCAAAACAACCAAGATCACCAGTGCACCCTAAAGTTGTGGTTGAAAATCCGTAAGTAATTTTTTATATTCATCCACAAATAACTTGACATATAGGGTTTGATTAGAGTACATCTCACTTAAAATAAAATTCCATTTGAAAGGAATGTTCTCTGACACCAAATCAGCAGCAAGAGGGACTAGCTTCTTTTTCCAAGGATATGAAATACTACTGCATATTTCAGGGGATTTCCTCTCTCCAAGTAACATTATTTTATTTTTATCATTTTATTGGTGGTCCAAGGTTCCTTTTCAAGAAGAGGATGGACCCAAAGCATTAATTGAAACCTATATTAAATCCATAACTTGTTCTTGAATTTTTAGAAATTTTAATAAGTTTCCTTGATAAAAGTTGAAAGTTTAATTATCTCACAATCTAGTACTTTAAAATAAATTATTTTTTTCATGCAGATATGTAAGTGACCTCAAAAAGAAGTTACCATACAAAATGGTGTAAATTCTTCAGACAGGCTATTAAGATTTCTTTGATGCATATTAAACTTTAAATTTTGTTTAATTTTTTCAAAAAATACCTTCTTACTAACATTAATTTATTAATGATTGTCAGGTCTCGTTATCGTATTAAATCATTACTTCAGAGAGGGATATTTGAGGAATACTCCCTGAAAGAAACACAGTCTTTCCTTAAAGAGAATCTGGAAAACTATGAGTCTCTCAGAGCAACCCAGCTCAAGATAGAGTATATCCGCACACTGGAAAAGGCTGAAGACTTTTTTGTACACAAGTTGTCTTTTGAAAAGGTTTGTAATGCAATTTTTTGTGAATTAATGTGTGATCAGATGCAATTGAGGTTGATTGAGTAAAATCACACCATCGCATTCTATCAGAAGCCCTGTACATGGTTGAATTACATTTTTTGCTTATAAGCAGGGCTTCTGATAGAATGCGATGGTGTGATTTTACTTAATCAACCTCAGTTGCATCTGATCACACATTAATTCACAAAAAATTGCATATTCATAGAAAATTGCAAAAATTCCACACTTCATCTTAAAAAAAATCTCTTATTTACTTGTCGTTTTGACAGGATTTACCTTCAAAACACACTTTCCATCAACATGTGGTTTTAGGATTGGACATGTCTGGCCAAGGTCTGGGTTGGATAACTTGACCCAGACCTTGGCCACACATCCAATGTGGCATCCTGGTTGAAGCACACATGCTAAAAATGGTTAAAATAGCAAAATATCAAAACAAGTTTAATACAAAGACATAGAGGATGGCTTTCATGTCTTCCTAAGAGTGAAAAGGATGTTTTTGTCTTTAAAACTTAATAAAACAAGCTTAAAATAGCTCAGAAAAAATCTCACGATGTGCACAAAAATCGCATTAATCACCAATTTTTATCACACAATTCACACAATTTACAGTTTTTTATCACACCTTATCAGAAGACTTGCATATGGGTTATAACCACCAAAGTAAAACCAGTGTTCTGATTAGTGAATTCATTGTCCACCATTTGCCCATAATGCTATGCACTCAATATGCAAGAGTCACTCTCAGCTATTACCTCGCATGACTCTTACACTTCTTTCATGCCTAGCAACCTCCCACGTGCATCCACAACTCAGTAGTGTACATTTGTGTCGTTTACCATTTGATATACTGAAATCTAAGGCAGATGTGGACAATATTTTTGAGATGTTTTCAAAATGAATAGAAGTTTGATGATAATTGCTATTAACTACTCTTTGATAAAAGACCCTCCCAGATCTTACCATGTTTATAAAGAGTTTTATGATTGTAAGAAGCAGTTAGAACACAACTTTGTTTAGGGGGCAATAAGGGTTCTATGTCGGGATAGCTTTGATCTGCAATTTCATCTTTAATTAAAATGTACTGTTTGATGCAATAATGTGTCAACTGTATAACCCTTTTGCCCTCTAAGAGTGATTAGCACCTAATTTCTCCTTACAATATTAAATGTAACCCCTTAATCAAACATAAAGGTCAGGAGAAGAAAGGAAATGATCAGCAACTTAAGACTGACTTAGCTTACTTGACTTGACCTATTAGCCTTTTGTTCCCCTGAGGAACATAGGGCCGTAACAACACTCCTCCAACACACTCAGTTTTGTGCGGTCCTCTTCAGCTGTGCCCATGTTGTTCCTATGGCCTTTACCTCTGCGCCAGTGCTCCTGCGCCAAGTCTGTTTCAGTCTACCTACTATTCGCTTTCCTTGTGGATTCCAGTCAAGGGCTTGCTTGGTGACGTTTGAGGGGGATTTCCGGAGTGTGTGGCCAATCCCCCCATTTCCTTTTTTCTGATCTCCACTTTGATGGGGTCAAAGCTTTGGCCAGTCTTGTCCCAGAGGTCGGCTTTGGAAAAGACTGAAGCTCTTTATTGTTAAACAAATTAATTCTCCCGGGTCAAATGTTATCATGTAATGACCTCTGAGAACAACAACTGGCTTGAATGATTTTCTTCCATTAAACTTTACAAGCTGTGTTAAGCCTGAAAGTTGAATTAATGGTCACATTTACATTTCTCTTCATAGATTTACCAGGGTGAGAATGGAAGCAGTCATAGAAAGTTTGAAGTTCAGATCAGTGCGTTTGGAATTAAGAAGAGGAGAAAAGACATTGAAAACAGTGTAAGTCTCATTTGAACATTTCATATGAAAACAACATCAAGCAATTAATAATCAAACATTGTCCTTCTTGGTAAACAATTTGTCTTGTTTCAAATCTGTGCTCTTGTCAGAATCAACAAGTGGCTGATGGATTTGGTTGTCAAAATCTGTTGTACCCTGTTTTTAAATTCCTTGAACTGATTGACATGTAACTTTTCCTTTCACTTTCTAAATTTCATCTTGCAGACAGGTAATGGCAACAGACAAGCTTATCAGCTATTAGGGTGCAATGTTGATATGACACCATATTTTCCTGTTTAATTTACAAGGAAATCTAAGGGAGTTAGAGGGGGAGTTACTCATATGACCTTCATAAGTCAAAAGCTTAAAGTGCCCCTGAGATCAAAATTTTCAAACATCATTTTTTTTTATTTGCACATTTAGCGTGTCTCCATCAACCCTGCCAAATTCTAATGTAATCCGAGCGCTAGATGTATTTTTTTTTGGGCTGTTAAATTTGCAATTTCGTGTCCGCCATTATTTGACCATGTTCCGAAAGTTGATCGCAGGACTCAGAGGAAGTGACATTAAAGGCTCAACAGGAAAATCTCACATGGCAAAATGTCAAGCAAATATAACAGAGTGCTTTCCTCTATTCTTACGAAAACATAATTATGCAAAAATGACGGGAAATCGATGCATAATTCAAGACTGTAGCAATCGTACAACCGTACTAATGGTATTTCTCTGCATCGAAGCCTTGCAAATAGGACAGAGCTATTTGTGCGAACCCACCGGGCAAACTCAATCCTACAGGAATATTTGTGTTCTGCTCTGAACACTTCTCAGAATACTGTTTTGAGAGATCTGTGCACCCCCAAGGATCTAGGCAAAGAATTCTCCCGGGTTCAGTGCTTGCCATTCAAAAATAAGGACAAGAAAACCGTTCTCAGTGTAATCTTGACGAAAGGGAAGTCTGTGGACCTCTACTTGTTTTGTCACCTTTACATGTGTGCTGACCAATATCTGCCTTCAACAACTCTCTGGTGGAATACCTTACACAAAGGAAAGTGCTCATTGTAAATAAAAACAATAAAATAGCCAAATCAAGGAATGAGATTTCTGACCTCAAAGAACTCACTTTAAAACAAGAGAGACGTAAAATATAAATGTGTTCTGTCTCTAAAAAAGCTGGCTTTAACATCAGTGAAAACAGAACAAACAGCTGAAGACACAGAGCGTAGAACACTTTAAAATGTAGGCTTGAAGCCAAGGAAATGGAGAAAAATGAAAAAATTTTAAAAAATCTCTCAAAACTATCAACCATCTGACAGCCAAGTCAGCATGCCATCAAGGGTCTCAAATTCATCCCAACACCCATGACAAACGAATGTAAAATCAGGCCAACTCTCGTGAGATTTATTCACAAGACGAATGTGCCTCCAATACACCTTTCACAGACAAAACAAGGAATCACTTCTGTTTCTTATCAAAGTGACCCAACAGTTCAGTCTTCTATTACCCTTCAGAGCTACCTGGAAAATTGTCATAACACAACTTGCAGACTGTATCTAAGCCAAAAAAATACTTTGTAACGCAATGAGGTCACAGCTCTAAAAGAGGTGAAAAAACTCTGCTTTGAAACCTCACTGAAGCAACTCAACAACAGTCATCACGTATAAGACAAACGATAGAAGAGGCCAAAATGCAACTCGACAACAGAGTTCACTTCAAACCTCCTTAAGCAGAGATGTATAGTAAAAAACACACAGGAAAGGGTTAATGAGGTCTTTGACCAATTGCATCGGGGCAAACACATTGATGGCTTAACTTAGAAATGGCTTTCACAGACTCCCAGTATCGGCCTTGATACACAATCAGCCATTGCGGAAATCATTTTCTAGATATCGTTTGATCATTTCTTACAAACTAAGAGGGAAAATCCCATACTACAAGCAAAAATACAATTTGAAGGCGATAAAGTGCGTAACCACAAAAGCCACATGGGGAGTCCGTGCCGTTCAGTCTACCTTTATTCTCATGACAAAAACTCATCGTTTGCTGACGCAAACTATCCTCAGAGGCTTTAGATGATTTCTGGGACAATTCATCGTCAGAGAAAGTCAACACTTTACGACTGACAACGAAACAGTTCTCAAAAAAGTAACGTGATTTTCTGTGCAGCGAACAAAGAGAGTTGTAACAAAGCAAAGCATAGGTTTGTTGAGTCTTTGACATCATGATGGCATTTTCTGCTGTACGATCGTGGGCTCAGCTGGAACATGTTTTCAGGAATGGCAGACGATTTTTGGACGACTTTTAAGCAGTAAAAATTGGTCATCAAAGGCTTGGTTTGAGTTTTTAATGAGGAAAAGAGTTTTAACTTAACCCAATACAACATTCTGTAAACAAATTAGCCCAAAAAAAATTGGTCAATTTTTGTCTCAGGGGCAGTTTAAAGGGATTTATACTTCTGGCTTTAAGACAGGAGTGGTTAGCTTGTGGTTCTTTGGCTCTGCTATAGCACAGTCCCCTAAACTGAGGTTTTTTCATTCCAACTAGGAACATTTGTTTTACAATAATCAGTTAATTTGTTATGAAACAGAACAAAATGAATTCTTATTCACTATTCTCCTTTTTCATGCAGTACCTAGAAAAAATTTACTGCCTGTGGTATTTTTTGTTACCTACTAAATTGCATGGGGTTGTTAAAAATTCAGCAGGAAAAGGATTGCTCTGACTACCAGCTTGAAAATTTCCTTTACCTGTCTTGCTTTGAAATAAGGGAGATCCAAACACTGGTCTAGGTATTAGATTCTAATTGATTGAAACTATGTTGCTGTGATGGTGGGCTGGTGAAACACTTCAAATAGTTGGTTCTAAGTTGGTTGTATTCCATTTCAGCATCTTGAGGGTATAGTGGAAAAGTTTTTTGAAGTAACAGAAATACAATTCGACCACATGACAAACCTCGTTAAAATATTTCGAAAGGATGATCATCCAGAGGTAATTGGTATTAATTTAACATTGTAAACACAGCATATCAGCCCTTTAACTCCCAGAAGTGATTAACATACAACTTCTCCCTGTGATATCCACACATTACCCAGCAAACAGGTAATGAGAATACTCAAACATATCAAGTAGAAGTTTTTATTTTGATCAAACACCAATTTCTCATAATTAATCTATGGGTTAATGTGTAGCAGCTAGAGGGGAGAATTAGCAATCAGATCTCTGAGTTAAAGGGTTGAGATGTAGTCTCTCTTAATTAAAACAGTCTAATGCATTTCTGTTTGAAAAATCCATCTTAATTAGTCTTGAAGTAATTGAAACCACCTTAATTTTTCTGGTTGGCTCTAG